TATACGTGCATGGCCTCTTAAACACTTGAGTAAATTACATGCATGTATAGCAAAAAAAATCATTTTGAGTGGTGTGTGTGCATGCTTGTATAAGCAATGTTAACAGTGCAAGTTGATATACACTTAAATAAATATCCTTGGTCGTGGTTGGAAAAAACATAAAAGTGCAATTATTCACATTTTCAAACTTGGACAAACATAAGTGTGATTTTTTTGAAAGTGGTTAATTTCTCTCTATTTGTGATATTTAGCATAGCTTAGCACTTGAATTTTCAAAACTTCTAGTATGTGGTCAACCAAAATTTGGTTATATCGGATACATAGATAGCACTTACTGCATTTCTTTGGTAGTATTTGTGACTTTTTGTATTTTTTTGCAGACATGTGTCTTTTGTAGACTGTCCTGGCCACGATATCCTTATGGCCACCATGTTAAATGGTGCAGCAGTCATGGATGCTGCATTGCTTTTGATTGGTAAGTTGTGGTTTGGTACTTTTGTAACACTACTACATAACTTTAATTACATAATTTCTGCTGCTTCTAATTATTAACAAATTCTCAACTTTTTTGTTTCCAGATAATGGAGAAACAATATTTGAAAATTAAAACTAATCCATAAATGGTATTATTTGCTTAATTGAGGTCTGTTCTCTGAGCTTGTCCTTATGGCAGTGATTTTGTTTGTAGCTGGTAATGAGTCGTGTCCACAGCCTCAAACTTCAGAACACTTGGCTGCTATTGAAATTATGAAACTCAAGCATATACTAATATTGCAAAATAAGATTGATTTGGTGAAAGAATCCCAGGCAAAGGAGCAATACCAACAGATACTCAAGTTCATACAAGGTAGGACTATTATGTTAACAGTTCTTCCAGCATCAGTAAACATTTTTTAATACTGATGTAGGTAGTAGTAGTATAGAATGCAAATGTGGTTGAAAACTTTCATTAACAACTGGAGTAAAACTGGTACCAGATATCTGAAAGAGTTTAAATAAATAGGTGTTTCTCAGTTTTATCTAGTCATTTCACCAGTACTTTTAGAAGGTTTTATTTTACAAAGATAACCATAAGAGTGATAAGGTTGTATTCTTTGTATCCAAAAAGATGCAAGAGTGCCTGGAAATAAACATAAAACAAAGACTTAAAAGAATATCCAGAACATCCAAGTTCAGTCTGTTCTTGAATGTTGTATTTCAACTGGGCAGAAATAGGAATCACAGGAGCACCATCTGCTACAGTGCCTGGAAATAAACATAAAACAAATACTTAAAAGAATATCCAGAACATCCAAGTTCAGTCTGTTCGTGGAAAAAAATCAAAATGAGCCCTATAATAATTTCATGTAGCTGTACACTTGACACCTGAAACGTGCTCACTGGTTGAGATGGGTTAAATTATCCTTTCAACATAAACCAGCTAGTACTCATCATTAACATTTTTTTCTATTTATTTTTTACTTCGGATTGTATGCAGCAAATGTTTAGTACTAAATATCATTAGGTTCTATTCACTTAGAAGTCACATTACAGATTTTCTCACATATGCTACTACTGTTTTAGTAAATGTAATTAATCCAAGAGGCATATTTGACATTAACCTAACAACAGACCTCCCACTTTACAGTTTTGCAAATTTCAAAAATTTAGAAGGATCCCAAAGTGGACCTGATCAATTCATCACCTGAAAATAGCACAAAAATGGTTTTCTACTGCTGATGTTTTTTCAACAATGACATTTACAGAAAATATAAAAAACTCATTAATATATCAGATTTACAAGTTTTCTTAACATTCTTTTTATGGTAAAAATCTAGTTACTTCCACGAGAAAACAATATTGTCACTTTAACAATTGTAAACAGTGAACTCAGTTTGAACACTGCTGACCCACTGGGGACTGAACAACTTAGTAATTCCACAAATATTTTGGTGACAATATAGTTTTTACACACAATCTGTTATGATTAAAAATGTTCCTCGAGTTAGCAATAGATAAAACTATAGTAGCTAAGAAATAAGAAACCTATACTGATATACTTCAAGGAGTGAGGTGAGAATTTAAGGATAAGAAGCTAAAAATGACAATGCTACTAGTAGGTTCTGGTATTGTTTATGGACGGATGAGCTTTGAATGCCATTTTATTAAAATATGAAGTACTTTTGCTGTTAACATATGCTACATGTTATTAAGTGATCACCTATGAGTCGAGGTTCTGATGTAAAATTTCTTATTGGAACCGGAATCTTCTTAACAATATATTCGCATATAACTTCAATGTTGTATTTCAACTGGGCAGAGATAGGAATCACAGGAGCACCGTCTGCTACTGAAAAATCAAAGTTTATGTAAAAATTATAATTTTATTAAACACCATTTTAACAATTTTTAACTGAACAATATCTTGAACAGTAGCACAGCGGTATGTCTGCGGACTTTCAATGCTAGAAATTGGGTTTCGATACCCGTGGTGGGCAGAGCACAGATAGCCCATTGTGTAGCTTTGTGCTAATTTACAAACAAACAAACTTTCATTTCTCAGCAGTTCCAATGAGTCTTACCTGTAAAAATGCACTTGTCTGGTTTTTTTTAGAATTTTTCTGCTCATCCCAAATTATAGGTTTATATTTCTAACACACTATTATCTCTTGAGAATAAAGTTATCTATGTATTGTTTCTCTCATGATTGTACTTCTCTGATTTAATTACTACAGCTACCCTTTTACAATGGGGTTGTCTGAACAATTACTGATGAAGCACAACTTTGGAAATTTCTATAGCCAACATTTAAATGTAATTTAGTTAGAGCATATTATAAACCATTTATGTCAATATAAAGTCCAAAATTGATTTGAGCAGTAATTTGTGGTTTCTTGCAAGAGTGACTAGCCATAGCTACAGGGGTGAATAAAGGAACTTAATGGAAAGTATAGAAAACTTAGAAACAAAACACAACTCTTATCTTTTAATTGTTTCTGTAATTATTCTTTTTGTTCCTAAAAATGTTTTTATGCTAAATTCTGAAAGATCACATCCCAGGTCACTGATCAATCTTTGTTAGTTTTCTGTATTTTTGAAATTTATAGCCTGAAGTGATGACTGTCGAATATGGCAAGATTAATTATCAAAAGAAATGATAGTCATTAGACTTTATATGTAGGGATGGCCAAGGTACTCAGTAGATATAATACAAATATGCACACTACAAAATCAACATTGACAGAGTTTTACTTTAAAAGATGATTACCACTCACTTTCATTTGTTTCTCTACCCAAAAAGCCCAAAGACAAGGCAAGAAATCAAATTACTTGCATTTTTTAATGCCAGAACTAGATAGTATTTAGTAACATGGCAAGTTAATTAAGTATTTCCACTGTGAGAAGAGAAAAGCTAGGGGATATTGGTGACTCTGCAATAAGCCTGAAGGTTTATAATTCATGTAGGAATAGTAGTGGTACTATTATTGGTAGTAATATTGTAATAAGTATATGTTAATTAAGTATTTCCACTTTGAGAAGAGAAAAGCTAGGGGATATTGGTGACTCTCCTGTGATTCACTGGTTATTAATGCTAATACATGTGTCGTGCGCAATGAAGAAGTGGTCTAACAAGTTGACATTTCTCAAATTATTTTCTAATATGTTATTTTTTTTCTGTTTTTTATTTAAGTTATCAGATCATTTGATGTGAACAAACCAGGCTGTGAAGTTGAAGATTTAAAAGGAGGTGTTGCTGGAGGAAGTATCCTTAGAGGAGTGTTGAAGGTAAACAGTTTATTCTAATTAACACTGTCTTTTATAGAAATTTAAATCTTTTATAGGAATAAACATATTCTCTTAATGATTCAGTACAATTTATTAAGGATTCCGTGAACTAAAACAATGTTGTTGTTGTTTTTTCATTAATTACAGTAGATGTAATTAGAAGCTATTACATTGCAATCTGCTGTAGTTCAGGTGTTTTTTGTTTTCCAAGAAATGTCTATAATTTTAACATTATATTTGCATGGTTGTAAAGTTAATGATAATTTCTTTTATAATACATTATTCTTAAATTTTCTTTAAATTACTTGAATATTCTGATACTTTGTGTAATGTTTACTTATAGTCTGCAAAATTTCATTAAGATATGCTTACATTATCAATATTTACATAGTAGGTACATGTACATAGCCCTGTAGTCAAAGGGTTTGCTCATGAATGTTGCTTTTGGAATGTTGACTATCCAACATGCAAAGTAATTTTGACTTTAAGATTAAAAATACTTTTCTTCACTTGAAAACTGTTAGATTTCATTGGCATAATCTCTATAACCTCTTAAATACATAACAGATATTTTCTGTTTTTTAGATAAACTATTATTTTCTCTAGCCTAACTATACAGGGTTGGTTGATTTGACTGACCTTGAAACGACCATAAATAAAATTAGGAAATAAATATAAATTACAATTTTTCTTTCTAGAATGACTACAAATTGTAACAGGAAACCACAACTGTGTATTCTAAATAGCTTAAATCACATTATAGTATATGCCTATTTATATTTATTAATTTTTCTTTTCTTTTTTATCTTTGAGCCATGTCTAACTAATAATCCTGCTACACAAGTAGTCATAGTACTAGTGTACCAATATTTTGTAAAATACAATGACATTTCAGTTGCTACATTAAATTTTGTACTTTTTAGAGAGGTAGTAAATAAATTAGAGAAGAGAGGATACCTAGAGAAAAAATGTTGCATTTCTCCTAGTAGGGGAAATTCAGGATTATTTCAAAAATTGCTTTATAAAATATAGAACTTAAGACTTGTATACTACTAAAACATGGATTATTAGCTACAATTTTATGCTATACTAATTGGTAAAACTTCAAGAAAAAGAAGATTAATTAAATTTTTCATGTAAATTACAAAAACCTTGTGGCATGTGGAGCAAAAGATGTCCATGGTGAGAGGGTTAAACTATGTGGGCCATAATAACCAGTATTAGTTCTAATAGTATATAAAAGTACACACCTAAGACCTTTTCGGTTATATTTAATATAATGGTGAATTTGGTTTAAAGAATACTTCTTCCTTGAAACCAATATCAAGCCATTTAAAAACAAATTTTTGAAAAAATGTATCAATGGCCATGTCTTAGTACTTATCTCAGTTTTAGGCTAAACAGTTTCTTTTTTTTTGCTAGATATGATGTCATTTAACATGGCCCTTATTATATATATATATACAAATATTTCCACTACACCTTAGCAGTATTGCACATAAAATTATATATTTTTGTTTACTAAAAGAAGAAAAAAATAATCTTAACTAATCCAAACAATTTATACTAACTATAAATTTATCTCTTCCCCACACCATCCCCTGAGCTTATTAGAATATTACTGTGTATGGTACTCTAGGTTGGTCAGGAAATTGAAGTTCGTCCAGGTATTGTCTCCAAGGACCAGGATGGAAAACTAATGTGCAAACCTATCTACTCCAGGATTGTATCCCTGTTTGCAGAACACAATGACCTCCTATATGCAGTTCCAGGAGGACTAATTGGTAAGGGTTTATGGTTAGATGATCAAAGCTGTAGTGTTAGGTAGTTATTTCCCTGTGTCCTCTCTTTCTGGTGACTCGGCAATAGGTCTGAAGGTTTATAATGCTAAATGATGAGCACAGCACAGATAGCCCACCATGACTATTGAAGGCAGTTTGTGTTGTATACTATATGGAATTAATATTTCTTGATTTTGTTATAAGCATTAGTTGAACTGTGTGAACTAAATTCTATTTCTTAGTATCATACATAACTATACTCTTAATTTTGATGCTTTTCTTTTATGATGTTTCCTGTTTGTCATTAAGAAAAGTAGAACATGTATTCTTAAATGATCATGCTGTGCTCTTAAGCAACAAGTACATGTTACTGTTCATAGTGATCATTAACCGTTTGCTCCTGTCATTAAACATCAGTCCAAATGACTGGGGTGAAAATAATAATGACTGATATTGATTAAATGTAAATATAATGAATGCATTTGATGAAGACTGTTTTGACCATCCATGTAGGGCTTTTTTTTTTTTAATGCTTAATAATATAACAAAAATAAGCTTTTATAAGTAAGCTGAAATATATAATGAAAAATAACTCATAATTACTGTATAATATCTAGTATACAGAAGTTTATCTTGTATTTGTATTGAAAAATTTGTTTCCGTATCATGGTACTAAGAGATCATTTGAATGTTAATATGTGATTAGATAATGTTTACTGCCATTAGCTGTCGTGTTATATACTGTTAGTGGTTATTATGTTGTTATATATATGATTAGATAAACTTATCTGTGTGTAATTATAAGGTTAGGTTCTACATCCACTGTCAATAGTTCCAAGACAAACCCTCTACCTTAACTTCATAATATTAGACAATTTATGTTCTCTGTAACTGTGAGATTTCATATTCTTTACTAGTTACAAGAGTTGGGTAATCCTTTATTATCAATAGCTTTTGGGCTAGATGATCCTTCTTCTAGCAATAGCTATAAACTTGTATGTTCTTTCTGCTTTCAGTGATCTTGCCTAATTTTATTTTATATTTGCCAGGATCAGTGTGACTGATACTTTAAAAGCTATCATTTTAACTGCTGATTTTAGGTTTCAGTATGATTCTGACATAATTAGAACATTTTTAGTAATTAACGTTAGTCAAAAAATTGTAGGGTGAGTTGAAATTGATTGAACTTTTCCCTCTTGTTACTTTATGTACTGAAAAAATACTTTTTAACACTATTCTTTTGGTTTATCTGTAAAACCTTGAAAGTTGATTTATTTAATAATCAGTCACAGATATAATAAATAATTTCATCCACAGGTGTAGGAACCAAGATTGACCCCACATTATCTAGAGCTGACCGCATGGTTGGACAAGTTCTTGGTGCTGTTGGTGCTCTACCAGATATTTTTACAGAACTTGAAATCTCCTACTTCTTACTACGTCGGCTTTTGGGTGTGAGAACAGAAGGTGATAAGAAAGGAGCCAAGGTAATTTTACCTTTGTAACTGTTATAATTATTTAAGCATGTTGTTGTTTTTTCTACCTCAGAACATATAAACATGTGTCAAAAAATTTTACATTTTTTCAAGTATCACAGCTATGTACCACATTTTAATCTGATAACTTATTATTATGATTTCTTCTAGTACATGAAACTACTTTTATAAGTGCTCAAACTGATGAAATTATGATGTTATATACAAGGTTTGGACAGTGTAACACAGGTAAAGCTCAAAATATCACAAAACTCCCTTATCAGAAGAGTTAGTTTCAGTAAATTCAGAGAACAGCTTTTTTGATATATTAAACTGATATGTTGAAATAATCAAATGCTTAATCCATAAATGCCTTTCACATATCTATTCCTATTAACTCTCAACACAGGCTTGTTTATAGTTTCATTAGTACTAACTTTTAATATTGTATGTGTGTCTTCACAAAATTTGTCAGACTTTCAGGAAACATTACATGTCTTTTACATAAAAAAAATTAGTTTTAGTGAAGTATTTTTAATAAGCCTCCCAGTGACACAGATATATGTCTGCAGACTTACAACGCTAGAAAGCGGGTTTCGATACCTGTGGTGGGCAGAGCACAAATAGCCCTTGTGTAGCTTTGTGCATAATTACAAACAAACAAACAATTTTTAATAAAGATTTGTCTGTGAATGTATCAAGTCTTTTTTTTTTTCTAGCCCAAGTGCAAAGTGATTTTCATGTTAAGATTAAAAATAATTTTCTTCATCTCAAATTTCATTTGTGTAATCTCTAAAGGCTTCTAAGTACATTTCAAACGTTTTTTTTTTTTTCATTAAAACTATATTTTATCTGTTATTTTCTCTACCCTAACTATACAAGGTGGCCCTGCATGGCCAGGTGGTTGGGGCGCTCGACTTGCAATCTGAGGGTCGCGGGTTCAAATCATCGTCCCACTAAACATGCTCGCCTTTTCAGCCGTAGGGGTGTTGTCAACTGTTGATGGCACTTAAGTCTACTTTTTTATACTGATGGTAGTAATGCACTATATAATTTTTATTTAATTAATTAATGCACCAAAGAACATAGAATAATAACCTGCAAAAATCAGGCAATGTCCCATAACTATCACAATGTTTCTGGCTTTCTAACAATGTGACAAGAGCCGTTACAGTTTCATCCAAGCTAGTCAGTGTGTTTCTCATGGGAACGAAGCTTGTACTGAAAGAGAAATTGACAGTTCTATATACAGAAAAAGCAACATAATATAATGAATCATTTGGAAGATGAAAAACCTTGGCTTTCTGTTGGTTGTAAATAATATAGTATTATATGTAGAAGACAACTATTAACAAATTCTGAAAGAAAGGTTGTGACAGGTGGGTGTGACAAAAGGGGTCTGATTTTCTATTTGATGGCTCTGTAACCAAACAAGATTGAAGGCTATGAAAATTATGCTTTGATTGAGTGGTGACAATATTTTAATGAGTAATTTACATTAGATTTCTTACTTAATCGAGGGGTGGCGAATAAATTAGAGAAGGCAGGATGCTTAGAGAGAAAATGTCACATTTCTCGCATGATTTTTTTTAAATTGTCTTATAAATTATGAAATTAAAGCTTATATACTAGTAAAATATGGATTATTAGCTATGACTTTGTGCTATAGTACTTGGTATAACATGAACAAAAAGTAGTTTAATTATGTTTTGAATGTAACTCACTAAAAACTTTGACATGTGCAGTATTACCACATTTAACACCCTCTCCATGGGCATCCATTGAAAGACTCATTGGAAGTTTAATGTACAGGAAAAGTCTATGAATGGTGAATCATTTATACGTTAATATTAATATGAGGACACTTCAATGTTTGGAGGGTTGAGTACATCATATGAAAATGATTTTGAATATGTAAATCAAGTTACCTGACAACCACTGCTAGTATAAAGTTGGGGTGGAAAGCAATCTATCAGAACTACATTTTGACATTGCTTGGCATTTCAAAGGTAATATGGTGTCACTGAAAAGTGATAAATTTTTGGAAGGGTGTGTAACAGCCCTTTCTGGTCCAAATGTCTATACATACAGATCATAAAGAGAGAACACGGATTAATGGCATAGCGAACCTTCATAATTGTTTAATGTACTGTACTGACCTCTGTTAATCTCTTATCAAAATGTATGTGTAATAGGTTCAAGGTTATACTTAGATAATTGTGGCTTTTATGACATGTTTATGTATGTATTATATATATATATATGTGTGTGTACATTTACAGTTGAATGGTTATTAATTTTTTGTACAAAAGCTTTTCATTTTCTGCCAAGTGTATTTGTATTATTTCAGTAAAAAAAGTGATTTATTGAATGTTTGTGTAAAACAATAGTTGAGGAAAATTTGTGCATAATTACAAACAAACTCACTAAGGTTTGTTCCTTTCTTCTAACAATATCTTGTCTGCATGTGTATATTTTTCTTCAGTTCTAACTGTTTCCCAAATCTCACACACATTCAGTGTGATTAACTTAATCTTTTGTTTCATTAGTCTGTCTGAGTAAGCTTGCTTCAGTTTTTCTTTAAAGATAATGTGGTACAGGACTGTACCTTACGTTGGCAACCTCCTTACTTAATACTGCTGTAATGTATTCATTAACTGGTAAGTTCTTTCAGATTACTTGGTGAAAATAAAACAATGTCCAATCTATCAAATGATAAAAAATTAAATTATTTCTTCCTTAAAATTTCCTGCAGACAACTTTAACTTACACATAGTTGTAAGACAAGTTTGCAAATAACATTTTCACTCTCAACAAAAAATTACTTTCTAATGGTACTATGACTAATGTATATATAAACTTACCCGTACAACTTTACAGCTAATCAATCTAGTAACTGAATATATGAAAGAACAAGCACTGATCTGAATATTTTACTAAATTCTCAATCATTGAATGAACTGATATCAAATACTTCACTGAATGACTGACACTAACTAAAAACTGACTCAGTACCTCGTCAATTCCAATCATTATAAAATATCCTTGTTTCTAGATATTTCACAAACATTCTATGTATTTTACGATTATTTTTATAAAGTTACTTGATCTTAACATAATGTTTCCTAAAGCAAACATCTAAATAAAAACGTTGAAAATGCAGCTTATAACATTTTTTGCAAATTTTTTTTCAATACTTTTTTCAGGTTAGTTTGAATGCTGGGACTTGCTCAGATAAGCCAATCAACTTTCTATTTCCTTAACAGGAATTCACTAACTGGGAATTAGCCATGTTTTCTTGCAGGAAAAATAAGTTGTAACATTGTGAACTATATGGCTGTCTTTTTGTCAAGGAATCAGATATTAGCTAAGAGCTCCAATGGCCTTTGCACTCAGATTACAGATGAAGGTAGTGTGCACAAAGTGGAATCATGTGCAAACCTGGCTATGTGTATTGTTATATAATGTCAGGTTTGTCTCCATAAGAAAAACTGAATTTAAAACTTAAGGATTTTGAGTAACTTTAACTTCTGTAGTATTTTGGTATTTTAGTAAATCTTGTTTTAGTTTAACTTTGGATTGTAGGAATTTTTCTGTTTAGCTTATAATTTAAGCATTTGAAATTTTCTTGCCAAAATATATCTTTGAGGTTTATTTTAGGTTTTACTTTGTACTTTTAACTTCCAGTGAAGCTTACAAGGGGAGCATACTGAATTAGTAAGAAAAACTATGAAAGGTAAAATAAGCATAATTGAAACAAATGGGGAGATTAACTTACTTATTTTGAGTAAAGTAATTCAGAAATGACCTTATCTAAATAGTAACTATTACTTAATCTTTAAATGCATGAGTTTTACAGTAGCTGTTCTTGTAACAAAATTAAAATTTCAGTTGAGGTGACAAGCTTAGAACTCATGTTTTACCTGTATTTTACAGTTAAAAGATCCATGGCAACTATGTATAAATGAACACAGTGTAATCAAATACTGACCCATAAACAAATTTCTTTTAAAGGGAGATAATTTGTCAGTTTCCTAGGATTGTAATTTTTCTGTTAAAATTCAGCTAATGAAATTGGATAATCACATAAAAATAAAAGCATCTGAAGTGATACCATGCTACAAACATAACAAAACAGGTTTATTTTGAAATAGGGAACCGATATATTTTTATTTCCATAACAGATGCAGGTTCTATATGAAATAAAAGGGCTTTTTTATTACATTTCTGGGCTTATTCTTCTTAAAAACTGACTGTCATTTTTTGTGAGTATTATGTTTTCTAACGTCTTGGATTTACTGAAATATATAAATATATTTCAGGTACATATAAAAGTAAAGAATCATTGGTTATTGTTATAATAATGAAGGTTGGTAAAAGTATTCTAAATATATATACATTGATATTAATAGGTTCAAAAACTGTCAAGGAATGAAGTTTTGATGGTAAACATTGGATCATTATCCACTGGAGGACGTGTTCTTGCTGTAAAAGCTGATTTGGCCAAGATAAGTCTTACAAATCCTGTCTGTACAGAAATTGGAGAAAAGATTGCCCTGAGTAGGAGAGTAGACAAACATTGGAGGTATGTTATATGAAAATAATGAAGACATTCAGCTGTAATACTTCGTATGAAAAATTCAAAATTTATATGACAACACTAGCTTCTTGTGGAATCTATGTTAGTTTTTTTTACAATTTTATTTATTGTAATTTGTATATATTTATTTTTGTTATGAAAAATGGCTTTAAAACTTGTTTTCATTACTTATTGGTACTCTATCTCGTTTTAGATCTGTATAAAGTAACTTGGGAATATTTTCATACTTGTGTATCATTTGAAAAGTATTTTGTGAAAGCTAAAAACAAAAATAAGACTTATTGTTATTAATTTTGAGTACTAAAAGTAAATTTGAAACCCAGTCTATCGTTTGATTTACCACTTGTCACTGAGTTGCATTGGTTTTTGGAAATTCTTTCTCTCATCACCAGGTTTCTTATAGTGGTGATTATAAAAACAACTAAAAATATCATGCAGATTTCACCATTACAAGAATCCTAGTCTTGTTTGTTGTTTATTTACCTTTTTTCATGGTTATTACTGAGAGGCGTAATTAATAACTTGGTGACAAGTGGTAAACCGAATTTTAAATGAGCTTCATAGTTATAACCCCTCGACGTGGATTCCTGTACGTGGTGAGGGGA